CGGGGGGGGGGGAACCAGGTTAATTCCATCGTGAAACAAGGAAAATCCTCAATCCCTCCCCCTTCCAGTTGATTAGTAATGACAAGCTCTCAAGACTAAGATTATGCCCTTTATGATTTGGAATCCTACTCAGGAACAGGCAAGAACACCCAGAAACGTTGCAAGTCACCTATTAGGAACATTGATTTATTTGATTTTCATTCGCAGGTCAAGTGAAATACATTTCATTAAAGATTGTGTTCAGATTCCTCCACGGGAAAGAAGAACCCTCAAAAATTTGCCTTGCTCCCAACGTGTGGACTCGTGGTCAGTTAGTTAGTAGCAGCACCCAACAGGTATCTAAGAAGCACAGGTTTGAATCCTGTCAAATCATCAAGCTTCTTTTCTGTAATTGCTAAAATTATTGCTCACCTGCCAGGGTCATTGCTTTACTTGATTTTATTGCAAGGTCATAACGTTTGCAGAGCATGTTTAGGGTGTGGCATAGTGGTTTGCGTCAGAACGACGTTAGTGTCAGGTCATAACGTTTGCAGACCATGCATAGGGTGTGGCATAAGGGTTTGCGTAAGGACGATTTTTACGTTATTCCAGGGTAGATTCAATGGCAACTCTCTTTGCTTAGATAATTACTAGAATTCACTTTCTTCCTTTGAATGAGGCATGTTGACGATAAATGGCTTCATTTTTAAAACCTAATAATGAATTAAGATAATCTGTTGAGGTTCACTCCGCCGCTGACCACGGGCGCTGCCAGCGATATCTCAACGTGTATTACAACGCTTCACACAATGTAGTACAGTAGCGATGTCCTATGAGTTAGACGTCTTTCTCAAGTTGTTTTTTCATTAGTAGATCTCTGGCCGTAGTACCAAGCACCAGCTTATAGCAAATCACGAGAGGCAAGGCCGATGTTTCTACTATCCCCCTTAGCTATAGCAGCCTTTCTAATCATGAGATCGGTGCGCAAGTCGACGCATTCAGTTAAATTATTGCACGGTTTTGTTCCTTTCTCATATCCAATTCTCTTATCACAGAAGTGCATATTTCTTCAACAAATTCTGCTCGAGCTAGATTCTTCCCAACGAGACATTTGCTTTCTACTTCCCACCTTACACCCATAAATCTCTTCTGCTGCCGCCTTTGTTTGAGAAATTTTCTCCAATTCCTGATTATTTATTTTAAATACTACTTCATTTGATTGCTGACTGGTGGAATTTCTCCTTTCTTAGCGCTCTCTGCCAAATCAAACAATAGCCTATGATTTCTAGAGATGAATGATTATAA